AAAAAAAAAAAAAAAAAAAAAAAAAAAAAACCCAAACAAACAAACAAAAAAAACAACAACCACACCCCACAAAAAAACCCCAGAACACCAATTCAGATGCATGAAAAAGGAAATGTTAGTGTAATAGCAGTCTCTTCCAATCAGACCTTTGTTGAATAACTGGGATATTGTGATGCCATAAAATACTGTTACTCCTTAGCAGTACAATTGCTCCAAGGTAAAAGTGTCACAAGACTGCTTTGCTTTTGTCTTGGATGATTGTACCTCTGAGACCGCAGAAGGAAACTGATTCTCCCATGTTTTTATTTGTAAAATAAGATGCACATAATTTTCCTTAACGTGTTTGCAGGCAGAGGCTGCGAAAGCATGGGTATGTTAGGAAAGCTTTGCCCTCTACTCCTTAAAAGCAGGATTTATCTGTAGCCCTGGTTGCACGTTTTGACTAAGCGTGGTGTTTTTAAAAATGCAAAAATTCCCACGGTGTAAGGAAATGTTGTGACTTGCTCCATTGCATCAGACTTAGTTTGGCTTGTAGCTGACAAATGTGAGGGAATTGCAACAATAGTCAGGCTTGCAGGAGTTTCTATAAGTCTCTTTTGTGCCCATCTATTCCCTATATTGCTTCTGTACCGAATGTGACATGTCCTGGCCAAAGGCTCTTCTCACTTGCCAGTGTGGGCTCGTGTGCCCACACATCTGCCATGGCACTTGGAGCAGGTGTCTAGGTGCTCAGCTGGGCATATGTCCTTGCTCTTGCCTTCCCAGTGTGGCATTAAACCTTCAGCCTGTGTTGCTCCAAGTCCTCAGGGAAGAGTGGAGGAGTATTCACTTAGCAGTGCTCTTCAGAGTCAGATGTTGCTCCCCAAGCAGTCACAGTTGCAGGCTCTGCTCCACCTAATCAAAGAATCGCAGAAGTCGGGTCAAAGGGACCTTGTAGATCTTCAAGTCTGACCCCCTGCCTGGGCAGGAGAAAAACCAGGCTCAAATGACTCCAGCCAGCTAGGCATCAAGCCTCCTCTTAAAGCCCCCCAGGGTAGGAGCCAGCACCACTTCCCTTGGAAGTTGGTTCCAGACCCTAGCCGCCCTGACCGTGAAGTCGTTCTTACGGATGTCTAATCTAAACCTCCTCTCCAACAGCTTGTGGCCGTTATTCCTTGTTATGCCGGGGGGCGCTTGGGGAAACAGGGTCTCTCCCAAACCCTTCTGGTCCCTCTTAGTGAGTTTATAGACGTTCACCAGGTCCCCCCTCAGCCTTCTCTTGTGAAGGCTGAACAGGTTCAGGTCCCGCAGTCTTTCATTGTAGGGTCTGCCCTGTTGTCCCCGGATCATGCGAGTGGCCTCCTCTGGACCCTCTCCATACTGTCCACATCTCTCCTGAAGTGGGGTGCACAGAACTGGACGCAGTACTCCAGCTGTGGCCTGACCAGTGTTGCATAGAGGGGGAGGATCACCTCCTTGGACCTGCTCGAGATGCACCTGACAAGGTCCGGTTAGCCCTGCCAACTGTGACCTCGCATTGTCAGCTCATGTTCATCTTGGAGTCGATAATAATCTGAGTGTTTCATTTTGTAAGCGTGGTGGAGGAGGGTAGCCGTCACTTGGCTGTGCTTGCTGCTTCCATATGCAGAGCTCCCGTGATTCCCACAGCCATGTCTTTTGCTGATGCAATGGCTGTTTGTGGTGGGTAGCTCTTTTACCCTGCTGTATTTCACTGCAGCCTGAGCAGCGGGTGGGTCTGCTCCGGAGGTAGAATGGGGCTCCTCAACCCAACCTACCCTTGTAGTTGGGGCAGGACTATCCAAACTGGGGCCTGCCATTTGTTCTGCAAATGGAAAAATGCATACGCCAGTTGTGCCTGGCAAGTAAATACTGGCCTCAAATCTGGCTGTAAATGCACCGCTGAAGGAGGGGTAGGGCAGGGCCATGGCAAATGTCTGCGTCTTTCCTTCTGTTCTGTACGTAGATGCATGGATTCGGTCTGAGCTGTGCTAGCACCACAGCAAATGGTGCCCTCCCCTGCCTTGGGGTCTTCAAGAGGAGACTGGGCAAGGCAAGTACCTGGCTGGGCTCACATGACCTTGGCACTTTTTCCTGCCGCTGGCAGGGGGTCAGACTCGATGATCCTTTGAGGTCCCTTCCAACCCTTGCATCTATGAATCTGTAAAAACCTAATGCCACAACATTTCATTTCTTAGGGCGTTTTTTGTTTTTGTTTGTTTTTACTTTGGGAGTTTTAGTAGATCCCATCGAAACTCGGAGACACTACCATAGTTTCCACTGTATAAGATGCACCTGTGCATAAGACCACCTCCTTCCCTCCCTCCCTCCCTCCAGAAAAGGATAAAATTGTGGGGGAATAAAGATTTGTAACAACTGTGAATTGAATTTTGGCCAGCTTTATTGCAATGGTTTCAGGTAGTTTTCATCATACAGCTTTTTCATTACACAGCTTTCAATTTTGGGGGAACAACCTGCATCTTATTTGCCAGAAAATACCATAACTGGGGTGTGGACTGTAAATGTACTTGTACATGGTTGAAATGGGATTAATATGTAGTGGGACAGTGTCAGGTTCAGTTTTCTTAATTGTATAGGTCAGGGGTGGCCAAGCTGCTGCACAAGTGCCAAGTGGCATAGGCAGCTCCTGTGTGTGTGGAGAGCAGGGGGGAGCAGAAAGCAAAGCACCAGATTGGGAAGGGCAGCAGATCAGGCAGGAAGCAGGACAGCAGGTCAGGCAGGTGCAGGGGATCAGAGTGGCACTGGGGGAGGGTGCAGGTAGGGCTAACTTGTGGCCTGCCTGCCCAAAAAGGCGGACGCCCACTGATGTAGGGTATTGTGAAAGGCAGTTCTGTAAAGCTAATAGCAGTGTCTACATGGTTCTGTATTCTGAGTGGGGAGGGGGGATGCTTTATCAAACACTTGCTTGTAGTAAGGTGGCACCCCAAGTGGTGCAGAATTTTTCTCACGTTAAACAGAACACGTGAACAATTTGATATTGACTCTAGTAGTCGATCTTTGCTGTCCAGGTTAAGACCCTAAGAGTAACTTTAACAGCATAAATAATGAAAAGTAAATCAATTTTAAATGATTTCCTGCTCAGTGACAGTGTCGGGAGTGGAGCTGAAGTGTTTCTTTAAAAAAACAAAACAAAACCCCGGCTTTTAACCTGTTCATCCTTGGCACTTAACATGCTCACAGCGCAGTGCAGCAGTTGTCTAATCACTTAAACAGTCATTTACAATAATCATACTAAATGCCTATGTCTGCAGTCCTTTACAATCCATGTTCAAGAATTTGAGTATCCCCAGCAGTTGATATTCATTTTGGTTTTCCTTCCAATTTTCACAAACAGAAAGAGCTTGCAGCTGATGAAGACTGTCCTAAAATGTGTGCTTACAAGTTGGTGACCATCAAATTTAAATGGTGGGGACTACAGAACAAAGTGGAAAACTTTATCCAAAAGGTACGGACTGTTGCTGCGGCATTGGGCTCCTGGCTGGTTGTCTGTGCGTTGCTGCTTTTGGGGTTTTTAATTGGCAGTAAAGTAATGAAAAGGGGATTTTTGTCTGCTCCTTTGTTTTTCCTTTGTAATGAGGCATTGATTCGTTTGTTTCTTGAGCAAATAAAACTGCTGCCTCCCAAGTCTCCAGTCCTGCACGCACTGGTGTTTTATCAAATGCTGTTTTTAAGGCAGAGGTGGAAAAAGCAGGCAAAGAATTTGAAGCACCGTGCACATCTAGACCTTGGCTCTGTAAACAGTCCACTGATTGGATTTCCCATGGGAGTAAAGTTGATTTTTGATTAGGGCTGCTCAGGGTAGCAAGTTCTGTGCAAGTGTTTGCAGGATCGTGGCCTAAACACTTAAACGGTATTAGGAGAAATTGCTACTACTTCCTTCAAGTCTGAAAAAGAAGGGGCACTCTGCTGAAACAAAACATGGGTGCTTGAATGTTTTTCCAGCATTGCATGTTCTAGGCACCTTGTAGAAAGTGTCTTACTGTGGTGCCATTCATCTTGTAGGATGTGGGCCCCTGGCCATCCAGGTGCACATAAGCTGTAATTGGGGGGTGGGGTGGGGGACTTGCGTAGGAAGTAAAACTAAATGTCTGCCGAAGAGGTCACTGCTCTGCTGCTGGTTTTAGGTCGGTTCATGCTTACTGCCTTTGACCACGTTAAGCTCTTGTGAATGAAACTGGGGGGACAGCAGTCAACACTGTGGCTCTTTCGCCTGTAGACAACTGTTACTTAAGTCACTTTAGGTTCCCTGAAATAACGTAAACCGGGACAGTGTGACCAGCACAGGCACTCTTCATCCCTCTGAATGTGTGAACAGCTCAAAGATGAGCAAGAACTAGTGCCTGCATCTTGTGTGTCCCTTCATAAGGTGGCATTTCCTGTATAAAGAAGCACTATGCTAGGGAATATAGTCTCCTCTTAAAAGGAGTACAGCAAAGCTTGAATGATGCAGGAAAAACTACAGGCAGATGTGTGAAGCACTTGCACCTTTTATGTCAGTTCTTTTGCCCCCTAGAGCAACGTGTTGGCCTGGCAAGATGGGCAAACCAAGATGTTTTGATGGTTCCTTGATATGATGTTAGCTTTTAAAGGGCAGGAGTGAAACAAGTTGCTAGTTTTAATATAAGATGGTGGTTGGCTCTGAGAACAAACCGCAGCTGTTCCTTACCACTGCTCATACTGCAATATGTGTGCTGGTAAGAGGCTTGGAGATGGCAGGAATAATTTGGGGTGGGGAAGATGGCATTCATGATAGCAGTGACACATAGTAAGGGCCCAGGGATGTTGGAGTCATGTTTCCCTTGGCATCTGTGAGTTGGGCGCAGCTGTCCTTTTCAGGGAAAGCAAACGTTGTGGATTTCACACTGGAAAGTACAGGAAGATTAAACTGAGGAAGTCCTCTGAAAGGTACAAAACCCTGAGTGCACGGGAGTGAGGATTCCTGGGCACTCGAAAGAGGTATTAGTCCCCGTGCCACAGATGATTCCTATTTATGCAACCACAGTAAATGGTCATCCAAAGTACCTTCTACTGCACTCTTTTTCCTGTGTCATTCAAGTTACTGTCCTTCACGGGGAACCAGATTGACTTCTGGTGATATGGCAGTAGCCACACGCATATTTTGTATAATTGGCTTCATTTGGAAATGATCAGGGGCTGGGGGAAGGTGTCAGTGAGGTAACAAACACGGGTGGGAGCTTGCAGACTTGAGGGGTTCTTATTGCTAGCTTATGTGTGCGCATGCGGCACTTAGCAACTCACCCATGCCATAGCAAGGTCAGAAGTAAGGCTTGCAACCTTAAGGTGAGATGGGATTTGTATTGCTGATGGGAACAGGATTTAGGAGAGGTATGGAGGCAGTACCCACAGGAAGTTGCCAGGTACCTTGTATATCAAAGACGATGCAAATACTCCAATAGGAATTATCTGTGGCATGGAGACTAATAC